GGACATTATTGTCTCAAGAAAAAATTTTTTCGAGGAATAATTAATTTTTACAAGAATTGCTTTCATTTTTTTTAATTTTAGTTAAATAATTTAAATTGTTTAAAATTCTGCATTGCTTCAAGGCGTTTACGTGATATTGTTATTTAGATTTACATTTAGGAATCAAAAATTGAAAAGCTCATTAAAAGTCGTTGAGCCCCAATATATTTTTTATATTCAAATATTTTTTATGCATACGAAACGTGCCCCTGTTTGAAAGTATGGTCGACCATACACGACATAATCAGAAAATAAGAACGATGAATATAGTAAATTTAAATTCAGCGTTGTTAAAATTAGATTACGGAGAACATCTTCCAACATTTTTAAAATTACTGAGTACTTAAAAATTATATAAAAATACGCTCACCCGTCAATTTCTTAAAATATATTTTAACAGATAAAGTCGTCATACAAAGACAATGAGCCTGTCAACATCTTGCCAAGTGATTTATGAGTTGCTGATAAGCACTTAATCGCGCTACTGCATGTGTCTATATTTCTGAGATGAGGTATTATATACATTATTTACATTATTCGGACTATTGTCCTCATCTTTGTCGCCATATTTATTACAACGTTTCGGTCGTTGTACGCTCCGGCCTTCTTCAGGTGGTTAGAATGTCTGAACCCTTTATTTCGCTTGCTGGGGAAGACTATTCTAGTTCCACGTGCCATGTTTAATGGATGTCTATTTTCAGTTATCTCCTGTTAATTTCCCCCTGAAAGTTCTCCACTGCCTTAACCGGGTATTGAACTTACACTCTTTGGGTCCTGTCACTGGATCTAACCAACGCCTTTATCCACTGTGCCATGTGTCCTCAAGGACACATGGCACAGTGGATAAAGGACATGTCCTTGGGGACATCTGTGTATGAATTTCTGGGTATTATAACCCTAATGTCTTCAGCAACCATTTTTTACCAGTGTTCATATTGCAATTTTTGCTGTTATCATTGGAGTTTCGTAGCAACGATTTTAGATAGTCATAAAGACAATAAAGTGAAACAATATGAATTTTTGAAATAGCAAATTGGGGCATGGCTCCAAATCGTTTGGAAACCACTGCTTTAGATAGTCATAAAAGTAGTCCTTTGAAGATTTGAGCAGCCATGTGGACCCAAATCTTCCGGAAAGTCAAGTGGATGGGGTGGGTGGGATTCTAGGATTATCCACATAATTTCAAAACACAGTATACTGTAACAATATGATTTCTCACAGATCTTTAGAAGATAAGGAAATAAATTCCTTCCTTTTTAAGTCCACTCAGCTATTGGAGTTTCGTAGGAATTTTGTGTCCAGTCTACCTTTGAATGAACTTAAGTGCTATTGTTTCAGGATTCATGTCTCCATTTTGCCTTTGAAGTGGATAACATGAAAATTTTATAAATCATTTTAGACAGTCATAAAGACATAAACAATCTGATTTCTCACACATCTTTAGAAGATAAAGAGATAAAGTCCTTCCTTTTTAAATCCACTCAGCTATTGGAGTTTCATACGAATTTTGTCTCCAGTCCATCTTGAGTGAACTTAAGTGTTGAGGTTTTAGAATTCATTCTCCACTTCGCCTTTGAATTGGGAACATAAAAGTTTTATAAATGATTTTAGATAATCATAAAAGTAGTCCTTTGAAGATTTGACCAACCATGTGGCATTGGGGTGGCCCCAAATCTTCCGGAAAGACAAGTGGATGGTGTGGGTGGGACCCTAGTTTTATCCATATAAGCAGAGAGGGGCAGGAAGTCAGAGAAAAGTGGGTTCAGCCGTGAGAAAAGTAGGTAGGTGATCAAAGGAGTTGGAGCTGCCCAGCGGCCAGTGACGAGAAGGGCCGCTAGTGGGGAATCAGGAGTCACCGAGGCCAGTGAAGTTAGGAAGATATCAGCCGACCTCTCGAAGCTAGCGGAAGGATCCCACATTTAAGTGAGAAATCGTATTATTGTTACTTCCCAACCAGAAAGTCTTGAAAAACAACTATCTTCATAATATTTGTTGAAAGCGATCACGGCCGAGAAGACCAACCTGTGCACATAGCGATTTGGGTTCATACGCAAATACACCCAACCTAAGATGTCATAACAGGTGCAGTGAACGACGAACGATCGGAGAACGTTGTCATAATTACAACACAAATGGCGTTACATGTCCGTGGATCTGATCTGTCCAGCCGCTCCGTTTGATTTTGAGCCGGGCCTCTTCAGAAAAGGAATTCTCCTCAAAGACTAGATTATATATATGTGAATAAAAGAAAATTTATTTACAGGGCCGGTGCATACTACTCCCGAACCCTCCAACCGGGAGAGCAAACCTGATTGAGGGTCCCGGGCAGTGCATTGTGACTCTCACTATCATCATTTGCTTTTTCTTTTTTCTGTCTACATTTATATACGTTACACCGTAAACTGTTTATAAAGAATGAAAAGATTTCGCAGATTTTGACGTCATTCTGGGGTATTTTATTTTTTCATCCTAATAAATTTGTTTTGTTCATGCTAAGTCTCAGAAAAGCACTAATGAAACATTGTTTTTTTTATTCATAATGTTGAATGTGTTAAAATTATTCTGCTTTTTAACAAGAAAAATCTCAAGTTAATGTTAAAAATTGCCGCAACACATTGTTGATTTATTTAAGATGGAATGATCTATTATGACATTTATTTAAGATGAAATGATCTATTGTGACAATTATTTAAGATGGAATGATCTATTGTGACATTTATTTAAGATGGAATGATCTATTGTGACAATTATTTAATTGGAATGATCTATTCTGACATTTATTTAAGATGGAATGATCTATTATGACATGTCTCTAATTTGTATTTAGATACATTGTATTTATTTTCACTTTTTCTAGTTGAATGTTTCACCTATATTGCATATGATCCATTATTATAGATAATTAGGTTACAATGAAATTTGTATTTTATATGAATTCTACCTTATGAAAATTGAGATGGAGTAGAATGGAGAACCTCATATCATTTCATAGGCCCTATATATATATATATCGTGGTCTGACGATTGCATCTAGCATGAAACAGACTGTCGCCTCTAAGTGTTGACTTCTATGTTCACTTTTATATATATATATATATATATATATATATATATTTGAAGATAGAACATATATTTTGAAAATACATTACCCAGGTTATTTGGATAAGTGACTAGTCTAATTTCAGTGGGTGGCTTGTACCCCCCGAGGACCCCCTTTGATCAAAATGAAATATACTTATCCAGGTGCCCTAGAAGTCATTTCCTTGTTCAAATTTAAATTTAATTTATCTTAAAGGAAAAACAATCAGTGGAGGGTTTTGGGCACCCCCCACGGGACCCCCTTTGATCAAAATGAAATATACTTATCCAATGTAATGTATTTTCAGAATATATGTTATATCTTCAAAACCCTAGGAGGACTTCGATAACAAACAAACAAACAGAGGGTACAACTTTATATATTCAGATAGTCTATAGTAAAAACGATTCAAAACTGGCCTAATGGATGTAGTGTCGACTTTGCTATTTTATAATCCATGATATGAATCAGGTGGATCATAATCATACCCCGGCATTATTATGAACAAGGCTAAACTATATCCAAGGATATACTGGAGGTGTAATCTGGACTGCTGTACCGTAAAATCGATGTTGTAGTTATACACCCTTGTGCAAATTAATTGAAACAACCGCTTTAGTTTCCTTTCTTTCACTATACTGTTAGTTTAAGACCCACTGGAGTGTCAGGGTGCAATCGATTTCTATTTTTTCCTCAGATTAGGTCATTTGCAGTGGTGTGCAGTAATATGAATCTATTTTCGGGGAGTATGATGAAATTTGTTTGGCCTTGAAAAATATTGCGTCATCCGAGATTGCATCAGATTTTCATTACGACCAAACACTATTGTCTCGACTGTTGATTAGTTGTCCTACGGCCATTATTTGCGATGGACGTTACTCTAAGAAAGCGTACAAAAATTGCAAGAACACACTGGCCAGCTTTATGTGTGAGCAAATCAAAGTACTACAGACTGGCCAGGAAACTCTCCTGATTTAAATCCAATCGAGAATCTGTGGTTAATCTGCAAAGCACGACTTCGGGGAATGGACATACGAAGTACTAACATGTACACTGGGGCTTATTTCACTAGAAAAATATGAAAAAAAAGTAAATAATAAAGGAATTAGTTGTTCTGTTTCAATTAATTTGCACTAGGGTGTATTTCTTTTAAAAACGATTCTACAAATCCAGATCAGATGTAAAGAAGATATTTATTAAGAAGAAAATAAAAAAAAATAATATGTGTTCCCACGTGAATCTCACTGTTTCTCGTGTGACGAGTTCATCTGTTCAACGTCTTCCACTAGCGGTACGCCATTTTGTCTCTCACGCCTCTCCGTCTATTTCTGCCTCGACCCCTCTTGCGAATCACTGATTACCAATACTGCTGTACTAGTCGGACGTTCAAGGGCGAAACATTTCTTCCAAATCGTCTGTCCTGACTTGGTCAGCTCCGCACAATATTCGCCCAGAAAAACAGAGAATTTTTTCACTGGTCGAGACAAATCGTAATCAATTGGTGATGTCGACCATTCAGACTTTAAGGACAGAAAAAGTCTCCCCACTTCATTGACCTGAAACCGAAAAAAAGGTTCAAAATTGAAGTCAAATATTGTGTCGTGTTTATTAAAAATTTACACGACAGAATAAACTGTAGCATCAATTTTCTTATTAATTTATAACACCAAGGAATTGCCATTATACATGCCCGACCACTGACAAATCCTTTCTTTCTGATTTCAATGCATTCCAATAGTAAAATCATTAGCAATGTATTTACATTATACATATGATAGCCCATAATAATCTATCAGGAATCATTCCTAACCAGTGACTATCGCTTTTTTCACGATTTTCAATGCATTTCTAGAAATTTCGTTTCGTTTAATTGCTAAACCGGCTATAGATAGATAGATAGATAGATAGATAGATAGATAGATACGAAAAGATTGAGATCTAAATAGATAGATAGATAGATAGATAGATAGATAGATAGATAGATACGAAAAGATTGAGATCTAAATAGATAGATAGATAGATAGATAGATACGAAAAGATTGAGATCTAAATAGATAGATAGATATGATTGAGATGAGTAGGTAGATATAAATAGACTTAGATAGATATGAAAAAAAACTGATATAGATAGATAGATATGAAAAGACTGAGAGATAGATAGATAGATATGAAAGACTGATATATATATATATATATATATATATATATATATATATATATATATATATATATATATATAGATAGATTGATAGATAGATAGATAGATATAAGACTGAGATGAGTAAGTAGATATGAATAGACTTAGATAGATAGATAGATAGATAGATAGATAGATAGATAGATAGATAGATAGATAGATAGATACGAAAAGATTGAGATCTAAATAGATAGATAGATAGATAGATAGATAGATAGATATGACTGAGATGAGTAAGTAGATATAAATAGACTTACATAAATAGATAGATATGAAAAGACTGATATATATATATATATATATATATATATATATATATATATAGAGAGAGAGAGAGAGAGAGAGAGGGAGATAGATAGATAGATAGATAGAAGACTGAGATGAGTAGGTAGATATGAATAGACTTAGATAGATAGATAGATAGATAGATAGATAGATAGATAGATAGATAGAAACAGAATAAAATAGAAACAGAATAAGATATATCTAGAAACTGAGATAGATATGAAAAGACTGAGATCTCTCTCTCTCTCTCTCTCTCTCTCTCTCTCTCTCTCTCTCTCTCTCTCTGTATATAGATAGATAGATAGATAGATAGATAGATAGATAGATAGATAATCTCACCTACAATCACACACACTCACACAAAATATATATTTAGTGAAACAAACAGAAAGAAAGAAAGAAAGAAAGAAAGAAAGAAAGTTATAGATATTTGAACAGAATGTTTCTAACATCAATAATGAACAATGGAGTTGCGTAGCAAAGAGTAAAAGAGAAAGAAATTAAAAAAAATGTCTGCCTATCTATTGAGATACATTTTAAAGTTAGCTCAGTCCTCAAATTACCCCAGATGAAGAATGTAACAGCATGATACTGTTCTTTTTCTTTAGAATCTAGAATAGAATCCTCCGTGTTTTTATGACCCCATCCTCTGCTCAAAACTTGGTAGCCTTCTGATAGATTTCCTCTTTTCTTCATGGAGACAATCCCAAACATCTAGCTAGATCGAAACAAGTGAAAGCTCTATCGATATTCGTAAACTGGTACATGCATTATTTTGTGATTTGTTTTTTCCCTTCATTGGTCCTCACTTGTCTAAGCTGGTAAGGAATCGTAAATCGTAAATCAGAAAGCGAGGAATATAAAAGATAACATTGAGAAACTTACGTTAAAATGTTGATCCAACAATGCTGCAGTCGACCGCCAGTGATTAGCCCATACCGTCCAAAACATAATCCCTTCGACAGCCGGGTGGCTAAAATAGATTCGGAGGAGATTATCATATGACAGCACACACTTCCGGACATCTTTATTCTCGTAGGTCAATTCCGATATAAAAAGTGGAAGTCCGGCTTTGGCTACTTCGTCCAGGCGACGCTATACACCAAGAACGCAAAGAGAGAAAATAGACATCATTTTTATATACACACACACGCATATATATAGTAAAGGTAATAAACCCATTGGTATATAATCCAAGTGAATCCTAGTAATATAAAATATTAAATTAAAACTGATCCACAAAAAGAGCTCAATGTATTTATTATTACAGAGCAAATAATTACAACACAATAAAATCCAAAATTACATCATATGAAGAATAAGTAATTTCAGCCGACGGAAAATTCGTCAGTCTTATTTCACCCCCTGGTATTTATATATATATATATATATATATATATATATATATATATATATATATATATATATATGTATTAATATGTATATTAATGTGTATATGGACTTGCATATGGATATGTAAATATATATATATATATATATATATATATATATATATATATATATATATATATATATATATATATATATATATATATATATATATATATATATATATAATTTAAATAAAAACAGACCACTTTAGGTTCCATGTAATAAATTATTTCACCACAGCCCTTTTAAGGACTGCGGATCATCAGACTTTACTTCCAAGGTTAAAAGTCTGATGATCCGCAATCCTTTAAAAGGGCTGTGGTGAAATAATTTATTACATGGAACCTTAAAGTAATTGTTTTATTTAAATTATTTGCTCTGGATTTACATTGAGCTCTCTAGATTTTTATCCTCCTTGGGTCTACCCATACGGATTACCTAGTTTTTCATAAAATATATATATATATATATATATATATATATATATATATATATATATATATATATATATATAATTCACATATTCATATACATATTAATATACACATTAATTAAGCTATATACATACATACACATATCTTTTATATATATATATATATATATATATATATATATATATATATATATATATATATATATATATATATATATATATATATATATATATATATATATATATAAATCTTAATTGTTTTATAACCCTTCACGCAGAACTTTTTCACTGCCAATTCAGGAAGACATTTGGGTCACTAACACACAAAAGTAGAATGTCTCATATCGAGAATATTTAACATAAGAAAAAAAAAATTTTTAATAATATGTGGAAATCTCCACGCTTTGCCTGATGAAGGTCGCGAGACTGGAAACTCGTGTAGCAAAATTATGGTAAATAAAACATTAATATATCTTTTTTTAAAAATCCACATTACAACCAAGAACTGCGGTTTCTTTAATATACACACTGTTCTCTCGTTGAAACTACAATAACTTCTTCCTTTTATTTATATATATATATATATATATATATATATATATATATATTGCGCCAGGTATGTGGGAACACAGAGTTAGCCGATTATAAATGAAACACGACCTAACGTAATGTTACACGGACTGCGCCAAATTTTAATGTTACTATCTATATTTCGTTTGAATATCTGTCAGTTTTGTGAGGTTTTTTTAAAAAAAATAACGAACGACAGTAAAATTTGAATTATTGTACTTTGGTGTGCTAGTTTTGAAATACCAGCACTCATAATCAGCAGGTCGAGAATTCCTCCCAACCATCTCTATCAGACATCGCTGTCGGCAGGTCCTCCAGATGGCATCCAGAGTCATCTACACGTTGGTCAATGTAGGTGTGATTAGGTCTTCCAACTGATCTTTTGCCGTGCAATGGGTTCCATAGGAGAGTGTCACTCACAAGTTCTGACTTACTTCACTAGGTGCGACCAGCTAGCCTAAGACTTCTCTCTCTCTTAGCGAAGTTGAGATAGGAGGAAAGTGCCCATACAGGCGTTTCTTTGTTGGATGTTTCTTCTAAGCTGATGTCCAGTGCAACTCGTAACATCCTTGTGTATGTTCCGTCAAGTGATGCTTTTTGTTGTTTCGTCAGCGTCCATGTTGTTGAGCCGTAGAGCAAGACAGATATTACCGTGGCCTCAAAGAAGTCCCTCTTTATATTGTCAGAGAGGGAGGACTTCCAGATGGTGGTCAGACCATCAAGGACACCCCAGGCCTTGCCTTTGCAGATTTCGATGTCTCTCTCCGTTGACTGGACGTTGCTGCTGAGGTAAACAAATTCCTGGACGGATTTGATGTTGTTGCCGTTTTTTCAACTTAATTTCTCCTTCTTAGTTGTATTTGATAAATTCTGTTTTGCCAGCATTAATGGAAAGAACAATCTGGCTGCTTCTCTGATGAGATGGAGAAGTTTGGTAGACTTATCAATCGTGCCTGACAAGAAGGAAAAGTCATATATATATATATATATATATATATATATATATATATATATATATAATTATATATTTAAAATATGATTCCAACGCTACATAAGAGTTCTGAAGTTTCAAAACAAGAGCCGAAAACTTCAATATAATTATTTGAATTAAATTGAATTAAAGTACCAAGCTCTGTTCCATCTTCAAGCGAAATGTTTTTGGGAAATAACAAATTCCTGAAATTTACGCGTTTTATAAGCATATTCATTATTAAAATTAAAATTACTATGGTAACGGCTAGAGCAATTGTTTAAAGAAAAAGGGGCGTAAGGGTTAATAGCGTTGGAATCAAATTTTGAAATAAATAATTAATTAAATAATTATATTTATGCTCTACTTTTGTATCGAGCACTATTTTTAAAAAATAATAACAAAAATACTAAAGAAATAACGAGGTCTTTCCTATTTTCTATATATTTTTACACACACACACACACACACATATATATATATAAATCTGTTTAAACTCTGTGGGTGAAAAAAAACCCTGGATAGCGGAATTTTCAAATAAATTGGCATCCGAGGAAAAATGGGAAAAAAAAGAAAGCACCACAAACCTCTGAACAGGGAGAAAAAAATATCGTCCCGTACCCTAAATTTCTGGTACAAAGAAGAAAAAAACAGCGAGTAATAAGTTAAAACAAAGAGTTCTCAATACGCTAAGTAGAGCAAAGGTCAAATAAATCCTAATGAGCCAGGTATTATCTACTTTCACCACATGGGATCACCATCCTGATGATTCTACTTAGGAAGAAGATATCCATACAGGCGTCGGGTGTTTCTTCCAGCTGAGCTGATGTCCAATGCAACTCGTAACATCCTTGTGCATATTCCATCAAGTGATGCTTCTTGGTGTTTCGTCAGTGTCCAAGTTGTTGAGCCGTAGAGAAAGACAAATTCTACCGTGGCCTTAAGAAAGTCCCTCTTAAGATTGTTAGAGAGGAAGGACTTCCGGATGGTGATCCGATCATCTACGACACCCCAGGCTTTACCTTTGCGGATTTTGATGTCTCTCTCCTGGAGACTGGATGTTGCTTCCGAGATAAATTCCTGGACGGATTTGATGTTAAGTTGAAAAACGGCAACATACCCGTACTATTAAATTCTATTTAGCTATAGAAATGTTTCATTATTGTCGATTTTCTCAACTTTGAAATGAAACTATTATCCTCATCTTTATATTTGTAAACTTCGGCCTTCTTGATATAATTTTGTTGGAATTTCGAAGTGAACCCATTATTACGTTTACTCTGTTTTTCTCTAGCACTCTGTATTACCGGTTCCCATATTGTACTCATTTCTATGCTTGGACGGCTTAGGGGATTTTTATAGTCTCGTATATGCGCTGATTGCTTAAGTTTTAGTATTTTCCAGCGATGTTCTCTGTCTATTATTTCAACCTTATCCCACGGTGGGCGATGATCTCCCTTTTCGCACCATATATGGTCAGACAGGCCTTATTTTTCTATTTCCCCTCGTGTCACGCCTTTACAGTATTTTATTCATGTCTATGCTTGGTCGATTTTTGTGGCCTAGCATATGCGCTGATTCCTTCAGTTTCCTTGGAGAGTTGAGGAATTAACTGAAACTGAGATATCCAAATAAGGCATGGCATGCGGAACTAGAACAATCTAATCCAGTGAACGAAATAAAGGACTCAGTTCAAAATTAAAACGTATATCACCTGAAGAAGACCGAGGCGTACAACGGCGGAAACGTCGTGAATATGATAATAAAGACGAGGACAACAGTCCGAACAACGGAAATAGCGTAAGTAATTAAAATACATCATCTCAGAAATATAAACAGATCCTGAAGAAGGCCGTACCATACAACGGCCGAAACGTTGTGAATGTGACAATAAAGACGAGGACAACAGTCCGAATAATGTAAATAGTAACAATACCTCATCTCAGAACTATAGACAGATCCTGAAGAAGGCCGTACTATACAACGGCCGAAACGTCGTGAATGTGACAATAAAGATGAGGACAACAACAAATAGTGTAAATAGTTACAATACCTCATGTCAGAAATATAGACAACTGTTGAAAACAAGGTAATTTTACCATCAGCACAAATACATTAACATTTCCTCTCATATGGGACTGGATCCCAATTCCATGGAGTGGTATTCCAGCCTCTTGATACATGACCGCACGATCCTCCAGCGCCTGTTAAAAAAATAAGATTCCACTTCAAGCAAATTTCTTCATGCTTTTTTTTTAATTTTTGGCATAAACAGAATTCTATAGTGCGAGAAATTTAATAAATCCACCATTCGCCCGTGCATTAAATACTATCGTCATATATGGTCTGGTGCTTCTACTGTACATAACGAAATTCTTGACAAAATCTAAAGAAGGGTCTGTGATGTAATCGATCCTTACCTGGCATCTCTGCTTCAGTCACCTTCTCACTGATGTGACGTACCTTCCCGCTGTCTTTTCTACAAATAGCTTCATGACATTTGTTTTGATGATCTTTCCTTCTTAGTGTTATTATTATCCCCCCACCACCCACGGCACAGAAAAATTGTACATACAGGAACTAGTTAGGACTTTATAGAGACTTTGAGGTATTATGGTGACTGTAGTAAGAATGATAAGTAAGAAAATGTTGTTTTGGTGTAAGGAATACTGTGGTAAGTTGGAGTCAGTAATCGTGGCTAGCTAAGTTTAAGATAAGAAAGATTGAAAACCAGACTACCCATATCTCTCCCCTTGGCCTTGTGTCGCATTTTCGGATTAAAACAAAATAAATATTACTTTCCACTATGCATTGTAATCATTGTAAATATTCATTTAGGTTTCATTTTTGAATGTTGTTATTTTTATGGATCATGCTCCCACAGACAAATTGTATATATAGGAACTAGTTAGGACTTCATAGAGACTTGAGGTATTATGGTGACTGCAGTCAGAATGATAAGTAAGAATGTGTTGTTTTCGTGTAAGGAATACTGTAGTATATTTGGGTCTAATCGTGGCTATCTAAATTTAAGATAAGATAGACTGAAGACCAGCCTTCCCATATCCCCCTTTTACATTCTACACATTCGCCCTCCTCGTCTTCCCATACAATAACAATACAATAAACATCTACCCACAGATCGCGGATGTACTTTGTTATAGTAGTCATGAAGTTGTTTTAACAACGAAAGCATAGACCCTTAGTCACTACTGCAGAGAAAACAGTCATGAAGTTGAAATTTTTAACAGAAGGCTTAGAGCATTAGCTTACCACTGTAGAGAAACCATAGTTGACTATCATGTTTTCGTTGAAGTAAAGATGTGCGTTGGGATCTTCTTTGTGTGCCATCATGAACATCTTCTGTGTTATATTAGGGTCATGCGTCAAAATTTCGTAAGTTGACGAACGTAAATTCTCGTTGCTCACGTCCCAATTCGTGATTCTAAAGAAGGAAGAACACCATTTAAAGAAAGAAAATATTCAACAAGAGATCAACTTCAAAGAATTCGACCAGGAATTTCGGGGGATGCGATACAAAAGATAAATTAACTGCTGTCACACAATATTCACTACGTTTCAGTCAAAGAGTTCTCTAGTTTTATTCGACTGTAAAAATTCGTTTGAGTGAAATTTATCATAATTCTATAACTTATTCAGACAAGTATCCTTATCTTTTTCTTTGTTGTTTTGATCACTACATTTCGGGCAATAAATTCTCCAGCCTTCTTGAATTGTCTGAGGGACTAAGATGAATCGTGTCCTTATTCCATGATTTATTCAGACTAATATCTTCGTCTTTCTTATTTTGATAACATTTTGGCCAATAAATTCTCCAGCCTTCTTTTATTGTCTGAAGGTCTAAGATGAAGTCTTGTCATTATTCCATGAATTATTCAGACTACTATCTTCATCTTTGTTGTTTTGATAACATTTTGACCAATATATTCTCCAGCCTTCTTTTATTTTCTGAAATGAAGTCTTGTCATTATTGCATGATTTATTCAAACTAATATCCTCATCTTTGTTGTTTTGATCACTACATTTCAGCCGATGCATTCTCCAACCATTTTGTATTGTCTGGAGTCGTTTGCCGCCCTATTCAAGCTACTATCCACCTCATTGTTGTTTTTACCACTTTTCGACCAAGGCGTTCTACAGCCTTCTTGTATTGTCCGAATGTCTGAGATGGAGTCAGATCATTATTCCAGGAATTGTTCAGACTAGTATTCTCATCTTTGTTGTTTTGATCACTACATTTCAGCCGATGCGTGCTCCAGCCTTCTTTTATTGTCTGAAGTGAAATTTAGTCATTATTTCGTCGATAGATCGAAAACGTACAGGGTATCCCAGAATAACTGACATCATTTAAAATGTGAATATCTGAGTAACTACATGTCCCAAGCAAACGAAATTAAATAGTCTCTATGTTGAACAATAAAAGATTTATTTATCAAAATTTGAACAAGATATTCAAAGGGATGTAGATTTTATAACCGATTTCACAAATATTCACACCATCTGTGACACAACAGACATCAAGTCGGTAATCCAGCTGCTCCTGCCAAACACGCTGTAGCATGTCTTGCGTAACATCCTTCACCGCCTAGGGAAGCCGCTGCTTAAGTTCCTCTAGGCTTGTAGCAAGAGGTGGGGATATAGACCTGTCCTTACACATAACCCCATAGCAAAAATCACCAATTGTCAAGTCAGGTGATAGCTATTTCAACAGCATATAGTTATTATCAAAAGCACACCCAATCCATCTTCCTGGTAGATTCTCATTGAGATAATCCCGCACGGGATGTTACGCAAGCCATGCTACAGCGTGTTTGTCAGGACTACCGACTTGAAGTCTGTCGTGCCACAGGTGGTGCCAATATTGAACATTCGTGAAGCTTTTCGAAATCAGTTATAAAATCTATATTGTTTAGTTTATTATCTGTCTACATTTCTGAGATGAGGTATTGTAATTATTAACACTCTTGGCCGACATCACTTAGGTGAGCCCATTACATTCTAAACATATAATCCAATTAATTAGAGGCATGTCTTTAGATGGATACATTATTTATTAAACCTTTAGGGATATTCATTGCCAATTTTTATAAACGCCATAGATAAAATTTCATTAAGGCTTCCTGACATTTAATGACACTTTTCCTCTCATGACTCATAATTTTTGCAAACCGTAAGTTCTATGCTAACCGTTTCTTTTCTCACACTTGTTGATTGTGGAACTTACTTCCAGTCTCTTGGTTTCCAATCAACTTTGATCTTCAAAGATTTAAATCAATCAATGAGGTATTGTAATTATTAACACTATTTACACTGTTTGGACTGTTGTCCTCATCTTTATTGCCATATTTGAAATCTCTAAAAAGAATACCCGCTCGGCCCGGTGGCTAGGATCAAAGTGTAGTATCTGCGCTTTGTGGGCTGCCGGGTCGGTGTTCGTCGAACTCTGCTTTAGAGAGGAACCTGGAACGAGGCTCCGCCGAAGGGTGGGGTTTTCGTTCGGGAGGTTGACGGAACTAGCCCGCTTGGACGGGTTTAGATGGGTTTTATTTTGGCTGGGCCTACGGGCTCAGACATACCCACATTAAAAAGGCCTTGTGCCACATTCAATTCCTGTGGGTGAATTGATAAATACCATCTTTATTGCCATATTTACGACGTTTCGGCCGTTGTATGCTCAGGCCTTCTTTAGGATCTGTCTATATTTATGGGATATAGATTTTATAACCGAACAAGTATTCGCATTTTAAATTATGTCATTTTTGTGGGTACATCTTCTATAAGTTAAAAAGCAACCTCCGATTAGAAATCATTTTCTTGCCAACTCAATCGATGCGGATAAATCTGACACCTAAAAAAAATGCAGCTCCGGGACTGGATATATCTTCATCCAGTTGATTGGATTGGGCTTGTGGATCTTAGCACGTACACCCTTGTGCAAATTAATTGAAACAACCGCTTTAGTTTCCTTTCTTTCACCATACGGTCAATTTAAGACCCACTGAAGTGTCAGGGTGTAATCGATTTCTATTTTTTCCTCAGATTAGGTCATTTGCAGTGGTGTGCAGTAATATGAATCTATTTTCGGTGTGTGTGATGAAATTTGTTTGGCCTTGCAAAATATTGCGTCATCCGTGATTTCATCGGATTTTATCAGGCCCAGACACTATTGTCTCGACTGTCGATTAGTTGTCCTACGGTCATTGTCTGCGATGGACGTTACTCCATGGAAGCGTACGAAAATTGTGACGCTGCACGAACACGCTAGCAAGCCTTACCAGTGAGCAAATCAAAGTACTATAGACTGGCCCGGAAACTCTCCTGATTTAAATCCAATCGAGAATCTGTGGTCAATCTGCAAGGGACGACTTCGTGGAATGGACATACGAAGTATTAACGTGTACAATGGGGCTTGTTTCATTGAAAAAATACGAAAGAAAAAGTAAATAATAACGGAATTATTAGTTTTGTTTCAATTAATTTGCACAAAGTTGTATCAAGTCCCATTTTATTATTTCGTATCGACAATATAAAGGGACTACGGGCAAATATTGGTTGGGTTTATGCCTAAGAATAAAACAGATTAATGATTGCTTATAGCCTTAATACTATAGGCAAACGTTGATGGATTTTATACTTGAGACTATGGATAAATACTGTGGCGCTTATACGTGATCCTATGGACCAACATTGTTCTGCTTTATACTTAATGCTTGAGGCTATTGAAGCTATTTCTAGGCATCAAGATTCATGTCTCTCCATAGACCTTTTTCTGTGAATTGTCATGTTTTCTTGGGAAGCATAGTGATATGCTTTCCACTCTGCTTTTTTTTCTTTTTTTTTTTTTTTTTTGCGGTTTACTTTCTCCTAGACGGGCTTACAGCCCAGTCTACAGAGCGCACTCTAGTTTGCTATTTTACCCATATACGGTGGGAAGAAGAAATGGGTCCATGTCTTTCCCGAGGATGTTAGTACAAAAGTGAACGCAGCAAGCGAAACTGAATTTACTTTCACTTTCACTTTATTATTTTAAAAATGGAATTTAAAGCAAAAAGAAAAAAAGAACAAACAGTACTTACTTGTTTTTAAACGGTGCCATGAAATCAGTGATGCGATTTTTCAAAGCCGTCAACAATTTTTTTCCTTTTAGCTTTTTCACCCAAGGAGGATCAGATATCCCGTAGAATAACGTATGACCTCGAACAAGAAGTCTAGGGAAAACAATAAAAAGAAATGAAGAAAATTACTAGAATCTGCAATATTATCATTCCTGGCCTGGCATCTCGGCTTCACTACCTTTCCCACCATATTCTTCTATATCTTTCATAAATATATTTCCATGGGATTTCTTCTGATGAGCTGTCCATTCTGGCAGCTCGAGTTCATGGATATTGCTAAATCGGCAGCTAGATATCATGACTTCACTGTTGAAATTGCTAGCTGGAACCGTAAGTTCTATGCTAACAGTTTCCTCTCCTACACTTTTCAATTGTGGAACTCTCGTTCGGCTTCCATCTTTCCTATCAACGACGATCTTCAAGAATGAGCTTTTCTCTATGGTACCTAGACTTTACGAATTTAAGCGGCAAGGTCTCATTATTTTATAATTGAAATGGCTAGAAGTAACCGTAAGTTCTGTTATCCACGTTTGCAATTCAGGTGCAGCTGGGCCGATCATATCGGTTTCCATTCGGTGACTAGGATGTTACCTGAAATCAACCCTACCCCTGGTTTCCATCGCGTGCAAAGTCTTTGCCGACATCACTTAGGTGAGTCCAGTACATTCTAAACATATAATCCAATTAATTAGAGGCATGTCTTTAGATGGGTACATTATTTATTAAACTTTTAAGGATACTCATTGCCAATTTTTATAAACGCCATAGATAAAATTTCATTAACGATTTGTCAATCGTTATGTACTGTGTTATTGATTACTCTTCAATTGTTCTCACTCAATTTTCGTGGAACTCTCTTCGGGCTTTTTGCTTTCAAGTCATGTTTGATCTTCAAATATTTAAATGTAATGCCAATCGATATCTTCTTAATTATTGTTCTTTCATAGTCAATTCTCGTTAATAGTATATTTTTCTCATAGTCTATAACACTCAGTAACCTCTTGTATCTGTTATAAAATAAAATAAGACATATCTCGGCTGATTTACAGGCAAATAAACTAACAATCTCAAGAGCAAGAGCTAGATGTGAACGAGACAAAGCCCCGTCACAAAATGACCATTATCTTCCTTTACACATGTTCCCGATGCACGAGTTCCGGTTAAAAAATAAAGTAATATTTTAAAGTGTTTCTATTTTTCGACCAATAAAAATGCTTCCCTCCTAATTATACTCGCGCCGTTTTACGAGCTTGTCAAGCCATAAAAACGCCATAATAGGGGTCACACGGAAGTACAACAGGCAGTCAACAGGTGGCCAGGGAAGAGACCTGTCACGGTCAGGATGAGCGGTCAGCAGCAGCCAGCAGGGAAAGCGCCAGCGTAAACGCTAGTGTGAACTACTATGAGAGATCAACCTAGATCCGAAACCGGCTTATGAACTATACCACAAGGTAGCTGTCACAAACCCTCACGTTCCTGTTGAAATAAATCACGTAAATCTATTTCTGCTGTTGTATTTCTTTCTTGCAACCATACGCTTGTCTATAACATATCCTAGTGGCTTTATTACGTTGCTTTCCAGTCAAGTTTAATCTTCAACAATTTAAATGCAATGTCAATCGTAATTTAGTATCTTCCTGATTACTCTTCTATTATTCTCACTCAAATTTCGCTCGTGGAACTCTCTTCCGGCTTCTTGCTTTCCTGTCAACTTTGATTTTCAAATATGTAAATGCAATGTCAATTATTATCTACTGTCTTATTGATTACACTTCTAGTGTTCTGACTTAATTTTCGCTTATGGGACTATCTTCTCACTTTCCAGCCAAGTTGGAACTTCAAACATTTAAATGCAATGTCAATCGTTATCTTCTGTCTTCTTAATTCTTCTTCTTTTATTGTCCTCTCTCCTTAATAGTAGTTTTTCTCATATTCTCTAAAACTCAGTAACCCCATTGCATCCTAGTGGCTTTATTGCCTTTCATCTTCAAACATTTAAATGCAATGTCAATCGTTATCTTCTGTCTTCTTAATTCTTCTTCTTTTATTGTCCTCTCTCCTTAATAGTAGTTTTTCTCATATTCACTAACACTCAGTAACCCCTTGCATCCTAGTGGCTTTATTGCCTTTGATCTTCAAACATTTAAATGCAATGTCACTACTATTAAGGAGAGAGGACAATAAAAAAGAAGAATTAAGAAGACAGAAGATAACGATTGATATTGCATTTAAATTTTTTCAGATGAAAGTTGGCTGGAAAGCAAGAAGTGTGAAGAAGCGAGAAGTGACAGAAAAGAAACTGTTAACAAAGGATCTACGGTTATGCTAATTCAACTGTAAAATTGTGAGACCTAGCCGCCAATCTAGTAGTGCGCTTATTCTCATAAAGTCTTGGTGCCATAGAGGAAAGTTAACCAGAACAATTACCATAGGAAAGGCAAATGAAGCTACGTTACGGCGGTGGAAAAGTGACTGAAGCTGAGATGCCAAATCAGGACCAATAACATTGCAGATTCTTCTTTCAATTTTATCAAGAATCTCTAACTATATAGCAGGACAAGATGACCTGACGTACCAGCAATATTCAAAACAAAGGACAAATGGTAGTCTTATAAATATGTAAGACAGATTATGGCGAGAAAAATTGTTTAGCAAGACAAAGTGAACCAACTTTCTTTGGTCTGTACTAAGCAACTGATTTAGTATATTCTTTCCACTTCGTATCAGCGGAAATCTTTAGGCCGAGAAGGTCCAATGGGTCACTCTCCTGGAGATTAGCATTTAATGTTGAAATAGCTAGATGTCACCGCAGGTTCTATTCTAATAGTTTCTTTTCTCAAACTATTTTTGGAACTCTCATCCTTCCTTCCCTGTCCCCTACAACTTTCAAATGTTTAAATGCAACGTCAATCGCAATCTCCTGCCATCTTGAAACCTATTCTTTTATTGTCCTTTCTCCTCACTAAAGTCTTCCGATCTTCTTTCATGCCCAACAACCTGTAGCCTCTTACTGGCATTGCTTGGGCTGGGGGCTGGGGGGGATATATAACTGCTTGTATTTAAAGAAAAATATTTAATAATATACTCACTGATGTCTTCTCAATAGATCCACCGTTTTTTTCACAGCTGATAACCTAATATTTCCCTGTCAAAAGAAAAGCAATTGTACGAGGGTGGGACGAAATTTTCAATAGTTAACTAATGAAGGAGAAATGTCAGACTTGTGATATCTTACATGCATTCATTTCAACGCTTCTTATTACTAACTGCATTGTTTCTTTCCACGTACAAGAGCTGGCTGAAAAGTTCAGAGGCTGACTAGGAAGGAGTGATGCTAGAGCTGTGCAAATAAAGCATGGGTGCATTAATTTCAAATCTTATTAATACCTGCATTTTTTCTTTCCAGGTACGACGGTAGGCTGAAAAGTCCAGAGGCTGAATATGAAGGAGTTATTCTGGAGCTGTTTAATCTTGCCTGCATTCTTTTCAACTCTTCTTATTAATACCTGCATTTTTTCTTCCCAGGTACGAAGTTCAGAGGCTGACAATGAAGTTATGCTAGATCTGCGAAATCTTGCCTGCATTCATTTCAACTCTTTTTATTAAGTCGTCACTAGTTACTTTTGAAGCTTTCTTCGAAAAGTCTGATATCAGTTTATATGTAATGAAACATTGCAGTTATTAATAAGGACTAAAATTTCATAGCTCTAGCATCATTCCTTTATCACTAACCTCGTATGTTGACCAGAGAATGAAGTGTATGTTTAAGGAAAGAAGATATTTGAAAAAATCCGGTTCGCAGATTTATATTTTGGCAAGATTTGATAACGGCACTCTCAAGAACTTTCCGTCTAAGTAAGTTACTTTCTCATTTAATGAATATGGCATTCTTTAGATCGAAGTTATGGTTGGACTTATCTCTATGTAGGACTAATGCATTTGATAAATTTGTTATAAACTTTTATGTATAAGATCATATAACAAATAGATAATGCATAAGTTTGTAAATAATTACGAACTATATAATACTTGAAAATTTGTAGTAGTGATGCAATTATATATATATATTAAAGAGAGACATAATATATATATATATATATATATATATATATTCATGAATTATTCATACAAAAACAAATACAAAGGTTAATGATTTAATTGGCGAGAAATCCATCGTCGCAAACAATTCAAATAATATACAAAAACCCCGAACCTGTTATGAATGAAAAGATCCTTGTTTTTATAAATTTCTGTTGCCTTAATTCTTATTTTTACTACAAGCTTTCGTTTGTTTCTACAGACATCTTCAGGTATGGAATAGATGTTGTTCTTGTTTTTTCTCTCAGTAATAAGAGGACAACGAAAATATATGTATTGTTGTATCCGAAAAATGCTATTAGAAATGAGTTATTGTTTTTGGAGCGTGCAGTAGCAACGCTGAGTTTGATTTTAAATTTTACAGTTGTGCGTTCTTGTACAAATATGGTGATAAGCGAGAGAGAGATGCAGATAGATATGAACAAACTTAGATAATGAACAGACTGAAATGGAAAGAAAGAAAGAACCTGTATACTACACGAAATCGTTATATAGCCGACGTGCTATACCAGTTTAACTATAAAGACGCTTTTTTTATTCCATGTAGGATACAGGTTCGATTCCTGTCGGAGGACGCATATTTTCTAAGAAATTTCTCGGACATTCAGGCTGGTAAATGTTGTTAATACCATTTATTATAAACAGAGCATTTACTTAAATATTTGTGTCTATATAAATAATGCATAACAATATATATATTGTCATCCACAGACAGACTGTTTCGCTGTATCATAGCTCATCAGTGTGGTAGACGTCCTGTTTCCTCTAACATATATATATATATATATATATATATATATTGTAGTTTGTTCATATCTAACTAATCAACACAAATAGCGCATACATGATCATATATATATATATATATTTAAATTTATATATATATATATTTATATATATATATATTTAAATTTATATATATATATATATATATATGTTAAAGACATTTTTATGTTTAACATTCTTTTTATAGATACAAGTATTTAAGTAAATGCTCTGTTTATAATAAACGGTATTACATAACATTTACCGGCCTGAATGTCCGAGAAATTTCTTAGAAAATATGCGTCCTCCGACAGGAATCGAACATTTCTTAATATATGACGTCATTTGTTTACATTTGATACGCCAGAGCAGTTATGAATGTACGAGATTCATGGAAGATTGAAGTTTATAAGCAGTAAATTCGACCTTGTCTACCGAACGATCCTTTGTGGCCGAGTCGGTTAAGGCACGTCAGCGTAAATGACGGTTCCGTATAGGATGCAGGTTCGAATCCTGTCAAAGGACGAATATTTTCTATGAAAATTTCTCGGACATTCAGGCCGGTAAATGTTACTTAATACTGTTTATTATAAACAGAGCATTTACTTAAATACTTGTATCTATAAAAAGAATGTTAAACATAAAAATGTCTTTATTAAATTGTCGGACTTTGTCCATTTCTTAACATATATATATATATGTGTATGTTTAAATCGTACCTTGTGTGGTTCACTGTTTGCCCATTTTAATCCGTTTTCAATGACAGCCCAATTAAAATTCTTGTATATGAAGTTAGAAAATTTGCCATGACGCGGATTGTTTATTAACCACGTTTTTACGCAGCCGCCCCATTTAAATTTCTCCTTCGTCTGAGTAATCTGAAAAAAAAAAGATTTTTAAAAAGAATCAAAGAACATAGTCTTGTTAAATATAATCAATTCTTCTTTTTAATGTCTAAAGAAAACTGTTTGAAATGGTCGCTGTTGGTTGATCCACAACTGTCTGGACTTGTAACTTCAAAGGACACTATTTTAAGTAAAATCTTCATAGAAGGTGATTTCTTTTTTTCTTTTTCTTTTTTTTTTTTTTCTTTTGCTTTAAGAATTTACCGACAATTATGCACTGTCGTTAAGACAATTAAAATGGCGGATATGTAAATAAAATTTAACAACTAAACAGTGGATATGAACAAAACAATTACAATTTCACAGTCACTGGGACGCCGCAGACATTCAAAAAGGTTCAATATATTTATACATTAACTTACGCCTAACCGTCTAAAGTCTGTAACGGGAGTCGGTTACCAGCTAATGGCGGAGTTGACCAGTTTTTGAAAAGGGATATTTTCTTCTGTTGGTGTGAGATCTATATTTATGTGATATATTTTAGTGGATGTCTTACTGTGTTCTCGTGCGGTATCTCGTCCAGTGAGAAATAGTGTAGAACGCGACACGCGATTCACTGGGGAACAAGCCGTAACCCCGAGGGAAACGAAACGCGTTTTGTCCCTACAACATTCTGTAGAGGAAACGATAAAGAATTTTTTTTTTCTCTAAAACAATGCAGAGAATGTGGCTTAAGGCCAAAATGGGGATGCGGTTGCGAATGCGAAGTGGGGGATCAAAAGAGGGAGAATTTGCAGATGCGGATGGGTATAAGATTGCGGATGGGGACGCAGTTGGGATTGCGAATGGGAATGCAAATGAGGAGGAGGAAAGGAAGGGGTGGGGTTGCGAAGGCGGGTATGGATGAGGATGAGAAGTAGGGATGATGATGTGGTTGGGGATGGGGACGCAGATGGAATTGCGAATGGGAATGCGAATGAGAAGGAGGAAGGGATGCGGATGGGGTTGCGAAGGCGGGTGTGGATGAGGATGAGAAGTGGGGATGATGTTGCGGTTGGGGATGGGGACGCAGATGGAATTGCGAATGGGAATGCGAATGGGAATGCGAATGAGAAGGAGGAAAGGTTGCGAATGCGGTTGCGAATGCGGTTGCGAATGCGGTTGCGAATGCGGGTGTGGATGATGATGAGAAGTGGGGATGATGCTGCGGCTGGGGATGGGGACGCTGATGGGATTGCGAAGAGGGATGCAAATGTGGGTGGGGATGCGGATGAAGAGTGGGAGGATTTGTGGAATATGGTTGTGACTTGGAATGGGAACGCAGATGGGGTTGCCAATGAGAAGTGGGAGGGTTTGCAAATGCAAATGCAAATGGGTTAGCGGATAGGGATTCGAATGCAGGTGTGGATGCTGATGTGGCGGGGGAGGTGTTGCAGATGGGGATGTGGTTGCGAATGGGGGAGGGAATGAGGATGAGGAATGGAATGAGGATGGGGCTGCGAATGGGGATGCGAACGAGTGGAGGGATGGGTTGCGGATGCTGATGGGGATGGGGTTTGCGTATGGGGATGCGGGTGTGGATGCGGCGGTGGTGGGGCAGCGGATGCGCATGGAGATATTGTTGCGGATGGAGTTGCGAATGAGGATACGAATTCGGGCGGGAATACGGAAGGGGAGTGGGTTGGCGATGCAGATAAAGTTTGCAGATTTTCATTTGTCCTCACTTTTAACCTCGCTCGTCACAATCACTGGCCTATTCCCGCGAAATTCTGTTCTTTTCACCAAAACATTATATTCACAATTTCCAGCCATAACACCTCATTCATTCTACTAATCTCTAACTAATCTTATATTTGCCATTTTTTTTGGGTGGGGGGGGGATAAAATTTGAAAGATTTTCACCCTAATTAACATTTACAATGATGCAAGAAAGAAAACTAATTAAATCTCTCTTGGTAACAAAGACCACGCCCACCCCCGTCAACAAATCTAAAATATGTCAGAAATATCAGTTAACTCAACGAAATTTTATTTTTGTTTTTTGAATCGAAAACCAAACTTGTAACGTTCCATCATCACCATCGATGACTCAAAAATTACTTAGAGCAAGAAAAGAAGAGAGGTCGTGAAGAGCCATAATCGCCCACATCCGGAACGGTCACGATACATAAAACCTTACCAACTGAACATAATTTCAGTTTTTTACACTATTTACATACGGACTATGACCTTCATATTTGTTTCTGTTATCACAACGTTTCGATTGTTGTGATCTCCGGCCTTCATCAGGTGTATGTCGATCAGAGTAACCTAAAGGGAATCCCACAGAATAATAACCTAGAAGTTTACAGCGTTGGTTCGGGAATTCGTTAACATAGTAATTGAGTTCAATCATAAGGCGGGGCAGTGAGCACTTCGACTCAATGGAAACAGGGCGAAAATACAAACTAGACGAGATATCCCCAGACATGGACAGTGCAACGAGAACTGTATACGCCAGTAAATTAAATAAAGGGTCCATTTCGAAATTCCCTGTAGGTTACGAGAGTCGACATATACTCCTGATGAAGGCTGGAGTTGACAACGGTAGAAACGTTAACAACAATATTAGGACAATAGCCTGCATGTAAGTAGTGTAAAAAATAACTCATCATCATCTCAGAAATCGATACAGAAATAAATATGTTTGTTTAGTGTTTCCTGATACAGGTCGGTGTGAAAATAACAGACTCGAAACCTTAAATTGGAGATAAAAAAAAATGAAAGGTTTTTTTTTTTATCATTTCATCCTAAGCAAGGCTATAAAGCCACTCAGATGACAGGGTTAACTGGGAGCGAAAGAGAATAAAATTATTTTAGTCTGAAGAAATGAGGAGAAGTACAATAAAATAACAGGATTAAGGAAGACAGAAGATGGCGATTGATGTTGCATTTAAATTTTAAATTCACTGATGTCGAGATGCCAAATCAGGCCGATTATATTACAGACCCTTTGAATTTTGTCAAGAATCACGGGGTATATAACAGGAGCATATAACAGGAACACCAGACCAGATATGGCAGCACTATTCAATGCACGGACAAATGGTAGATTTAGAAATGTGCAAGAAGGATTCCGACCGGAGGAATTGTCTGGCACGACACAGGGAACAAAATTTTCTAGCAGTAGACCTGGCAATTGAATGATTCATTACAATCACTCCACTTCATGTCAGTGGAAAAGTTTTTCTCTCCTCTGGTTTCACAGAAAAGAAAAGCTTCTCTGTATTGATTAAATGAAAGCAATTTTGTTTCGGAGGTGTTAAAATTTTAGAAAGCTATTCCTTGACCGACTCATTTGAAACCAAATATGAATTAACGAAAAATACGTCTCGATTTTTTTTCCCACGAGTTTACCCGCCGTCATGCTTGGCGTACAACGGATGTTATCGCTTCTAGACGGCCTTGGTTCAGCCCACACCACGGAAATGGGTGATTACATATATTTTTTCCTCTATTTAGCCTGGAATTTAAGTAACTTAGTCTAATTTGTTTGAGAAATGAAAACCTGGGGTCCAGCTGTTTTAAATCATGTCGGCGGTTTGTTTATTAGCTGCGAAGTAAAAACGGTAAGCGAACATTCTCGAAGAGAGGGAGGGCATTCGTTAATATTAGCCAGGAACTGTCCAAACCTTTGCGGTTCAGGGATCGTTTCTTCGTTTAATTTAATTTTATTTTATTTATAAGACATTATGTGAAAAAGTTTCAGCCCTATTATGTTAAAAAGTTTCAGCCCTACGACCTTTCTAATTTTACAAGAATAAGATCAGACCAAAATTCGATATTTTTTTTTTTTTTTTTGCTGCCCTAACTAGGCTGGAGCTGCCCGGTCCTCATTTGCCTGTCTCAAAAGTGTCTACGCCCCTTGTGGGCGATGAATGATTTTCCACCCTACAACCTCTTTCCCCACAGACGAAACGTTGCGAGCTGCTCTATCGCTACTCCCATGGCATGTGTTCTGACGAGCTACAATATTTAGTCCTAACACTGCGGATCTTTACAAATGGACCCCGCCATAGCACGTGTACAAGAGTGAATCATCCGCACCCCACTTCATATTCCTATAGTAAAAAGTAAGTATCATTCGGAAAGCTTCTCAAAATTGCTGCTTTGTGGAACAAACTCCCGGCAGAATTTTTTTCCAATCACTACAAACTTGGTCTAGGGTTAAACATTATCTTTCCTGCATAGTCCCATGAACTTGCCGTTTCTTACGCTTATACACAATAACTTTCTACTTGAGTAGTCCTTGGGCTTTGTATTATATGAACATTAGTATTAAAAAACAAAAAAAACAATGAAATGTTCGAATGGGGCTTTTTTCGATATGCCTTGATTTTGAGTCTATTTATGGCGATGCTATGGCTGGCTGAGAGTAGCAAAAATCGGATGTTCGGGAAACAGAAGAACGGTATTTAAATCCGCGATAATTTGAAACGATCAATGAATGAGCTTGGCGATCGAAATAATGAAAATCACTATTTATAGACGCCCCGATAAGGGATAGTTACATAGACATGGGAACAAGCTTAATAATTCTGAAACGTCATGTTGTCAACTAAAAACTTCGGACGACAAAACAGAAACGAAAAACTAACACTGAATATTGCTACCATATCTGGTCTGGTGCTCCTGTTATATATCTCGAGATTCTTGACAATATCCAAAGAAAGAACTGTAATGTTAATTGTCCTGACCTCGTATCTGCCGCTACTCTATCGCTATTTCCATGGCAAATGTTCAGATGAGCGTTACATTCTTTAGTTCCACCAGTTCAGGCTACTTCCACGGAGTAGGCTTGAACAGATTAAGATTTCGACGTTTCGTTGGTGGGAAAAGGTTTGTACGGTGGGAAATAATTCAACACCCACAGGGACATAATAGTGAGTGGCTCGAACCTTGAATTAACCTAATTCAAGTACAAAAATATCTTTTTGATTGATACCCGATTCTGAAAGTACCCACTTGTACGGTGGCCTGTTTTGGGGGGCAAAGGATTTATAAGCCTTGCTGACAGGCCAAAGGAATATCAAAGGAAGTTTATTTTAATAGATATGACATAATTACTTACCCTTAAATTGTATCCCTTCGGTATTGACGTGACGTTTAAACTGTTATAAAAAAAACAAATAGGGAAATTAGATGCGTTCAATTAAAATACATAACAAAAATCGAAAAATATATATATATATATATATATATATATATATATATATATATATATATATATATATATATATATATATATATAAGTCAATCGTGGCCGACAGTCTGTTTCATGCTATAGCAATCGTGGCCTGACGATTGCATATACATAAAACAGACTGACTTCTATGTTCACTTTTATATTTACACACGCTCTATCTCTGATATTGAGTACTTTATCCCATAAATATAGCACACCTTAAGACTATATTTCTTTATATATATGTATATATATATATATATATATAATAAATGCAAATATCAGGGTGTCACTGTGTTACATTTTTTCAACTTTACTCCTAGAAACCGTAGCCCAAAATATAATGGCATTTTGAAGTCATGCTGACTCCGTGAGCAAATTAAAAATATTCCTGAAATTTTGGATTATCAAGTTTTCATTACTGCAATTGTTTTCGGATTCCGTCATCATGGCTTCCACTGATAAAAACAATTAAAGGGACACAACTATTTCATTTTAAATACCTCATGTTCAAATGAAAAAATTACTATTCTCAAATTAGTGTTTCAAAATAAAAGTGTTCGTGCTTTCAACTTTACTCCTAGAAGCCATAGTCCAACATAACCTACAATTTTGGAATCAGGCCGACTCTGTAAGCAAATTGACAACATTCCGGACCCGAAATTCTGAAATTTTGGATTTCCAAGTTTTCATTACTGCAATTGTTTTCGGTGATGTTTTACGTGATTTTTTGCGACCAATTTTTTGTAGGATAAAAATTTTTATAACTTAGGAGTATATATATATATATATATATATATATATATATATATATATATAGTCGACTCTCCCGTCGAATTCAACGTATGAGGGTCAAGCAGATCAGTTTCCAGGAAATCGACAGCCCGACACCGGCACATGATTTTTGATTATAGTGGTGAAGGTTTCGTGCAGGACCATCCACACTTTTTGAAAGGACGAATACAGAGACCTGGTGCTATGGGTAAAATAGCAGGACAGTCTGGGTTCTATAGCCTTGGATGGCAACTGGTCTAGGAGAAAGACAACTCTGAATTCAAAACCTGCGGAGGGTCGTTTGGGAACCTTGTATATATACATACATATATATATATATTCATGAATCATTCATACAAAAAACGAATATAGAGGTTAATGATTCAAATGGCGAGAATGCATCATCGCAAACAATATAAAAGATACACCAACCCCGAACCTGTATATGAATGATATGATCCCTATTTATAAATTCCAGTTGCATAAGGTCTTTTTAATTTTTACAAGCTTTCGTCTGTTCCTACAGACATCATCAGGTATGGAAGTAGATTTTGTTCTTGTTTTTACTTCTCAGTAATAAGAGGACAACGAAAATAGAGATGCAATCCGAAAAAATGCTATGAGAAATGTGTTATTGTTTTGGAACGTGCGGTCGCAACGCTGAGTTTTAATTAATGAGTTGAAATTAAAATAACTGATCCAACGTTGTGAACTTTCTAGGCTTTGTCATATACAATAACGAAAGAAAGAGGTATGTGTGCGTATGCTTAAATATATGAGCGTCTACTTATTAGCAGCCATATATATATATATATATATATATATATATATATATATATATATATATATATATATATATATATATATATATGACCGCCATTGAAACTGAGAATAGATAAAAAGTAAGACTGAAAATGGCCTAGCTAACTGGTTTTAAACCTCGCTCAACAGAGATAAATCGAGGTTAATAGAATTATCACTAAAAGATGGACAATATGTATTGGGGGGGGGATATTGCTTCAGTTTTACTTTTATCTATTATCATTATGAGCGGTAGTAAAAATAAATTTTCTCTTTTCATGATGGTCATAAAATTTTATACCACAAATCATACCTTTATACATATATATATATGATTATTTCTTTGTATGTAAATCATATGCTGCCTAATGTTTTGTTTATTAAAAACTATCGATCCGCAGTACATAAAAAAATTCCTATAAAAAAAACTACTACTAAGACATTACACTATATTATTGAACTATATACTTAGTTCATGACATAAAAACTAAATACACTTGTAAAAATAGAATACGTGGATTTAACACATCACAAGAAATATTTAAATAAAATTCTCACTTAAAATTTTGAAAAACTTAGCGTTGCGTCATTGCACGTTCCGAGATCTTACACAACCGTCAATAATAGCAGATATTCAAAAAACATATTTCGGTCGACATACAAGTATATCGTCTTAAGTTTTTGATTTTATAAGGAAAAAAAACACATGCCTGATGATGAATAGAAGACCATTCGTAAGTACTAGCATTTTAACATCAAATAAACTGAAAACTACAGACAAGTTTATCGACGAGGATCAAACTCGCACTATGGATGAACAGGATTTTAATGCATATATTATGTTTTCTAGCGATGGATGTCGCCAATAATCGCATTAATACTTCTGATTGATTCTATGTGTGATTATTTCTTTGTATATATATATATATATATATATATATATAATGAGAAAGAACAGTAAGATTTATAATCCGGTGTTCTTATAATTATTTTTATTTTTAAAAAACAGTGCTCAATAAAGTTTTGTACAGCATAAACATTATAATTTTCTAATTTAAAAATATGGTCCCATCGCTACACAAGAATTAACATGGTTCAAAAACAGATACTAAATCTTTAAATTTAAAAAGATTGAATTAAAATCTCTAGTTCTGTTTCATTTTCAAACAATTTTTGGATTAACTTATTTGGAAATTTACTGAATTTCTTATAAATTCAGTAAAATTCCACATACAGTCTTGATATTATTAGTTAAGGTTACGGAAAATTCAATCTATTTGATAAGGGGGCGGTAATGTATTCAATTTCATAAACAACTTATGTATCAAAATATTAGTTACTTTCAAAATCAAGTAAAACAAACTAGGGATTTTAATTTTTGAAACATAGTAA